GGAAGTAGGTCACCGCTCCCCCCACGCATCGACCTGCGCGGAGGACTCGGGTCCGGGGCGCTGGTCGTCGGCCACCCGGCCTGCCTCCACTTTCCTCGGGGCTCGTGCTCCCCGACTGCGCGCAGTGGGCTGCCCAGCCTTGTGGAGCGGGCTGCCCCCTGGTTCTAGATGCAGGAGGGCGGGTCTCCAAAGCAGAGCGACTTCTCGTGTAGGTTGACAGGCTGCCTTTGCCGTCGGCGCCCCGACCGCCCTCATCCTTGGGTGGAGGCCCACCCGGTGCACAGCGGGTGGTGGGCGCCGGGCGGCACTCCGGTGGTGGGGGGGGAGCTAGCCCTCGGCACTGCCCGCAGCAGCTTGTGCCCATCAGGCCTTCCACGCCCCCAGTCCTCTTCCCACGGGTGTTTGCGAGCCGGTGGGCAACCTTGGAGCGATTTCCTGCAGCTCTTTATTGGAGCTGAATAAGCGGAATCCAAGCACAGAACCAAATAAAAGGACGCCCCATGGCTAGTATTTTGGCAAAGTCCCTGGCCCCAGAAAGTTTGCAGACTTTTTCAGCTACCCTAACCAGCTCACAGCGACACTGAGGCTGCCTGCTTATGGAGTGCTCCCCATCGCTTCCCCAGGGCTCCCTGAAAGAGCCCCAACCAACCTCACAGCCGTTGAATTTATTCAGATTCAGAGCCTCACAGTCATTGGATCTATTCAGACTCAGAGCTAGTGGTGCTTTAGGACGGGCTAGAACAACGGCCCTGGTGGGTTTCTGAGACTGTAATAACTCTACAGACAGGAAGGAGTAGAAAACCTCATCTTTCTCCCTCTCAGCCACTGGTAATTTTGAACTGCTGACCTTGTGGCTTGCAGTGCAACTTGGAACCCACTGTGCCACTAGGGCTCCTCAGAAAGCCCGTGGGGTCTGATTATTAGGACCCCAAGCAGGCTGTTCTCAGCTCCCTGCCGTTCCTTTCACCCTGTATGCTTTCTAGGATGTCGGTTGCTATCTGTTATGAAGCTGGTCTGAGCCGCAAAGTGCCCTGTGCTGAGGGCTCCAGGCACCTCTTGGGGGGCCCGGGGGAGTGGGGAGCCCTTTCTCCTCTGGGGACAGAGCGCATCCTGGCTGTACAGCAGGAGCTGGGGATCTCAATCCATGATCACACTGTGCCCTTAGGGTCCACCGGCTGCCTGCCTTTTTCCTGCCTGAGGTTGACTGTTGGAGAAAGGTCTGGGTCTAGAAACCTGGGTTAGAGCAGGCTCTGCAACCGCAAAGAGGATGGCCAAGGCCTGAGGGCTAGACTCCACAGCGTACCATGAAAGCAGGCTCAGCGTGTGTGCCAGCGGGTGAGGGTATGAAAATAGCGCCGCCCCTGTAGTGCAGTTGCTCCATGCTTGGCAGTGTGTGCGCACCAGGCCCCACGCCTGTGGAGGGAGGAGAGGCTTGGTGCTGGCTGGAAACCCTTGGGGCAGTTGTATTCCATGGTAGGGTTGCTTTGAGTTGCAACTAGCTCAACACACAACAACAAATCTACAATCTGCCTTCTTTTTTCATGAGACCCCAATGCAGTTGGAGCCTTTCCATGGCTCTGCATGCTCCGCTTACACATTCTCTCTTTCTCTGTTCATTAACTTGGAGCCTTTGGTGATGCACCTTCTGTCTTGAGTAGACTTTGCTGAGAATCTCCCGTTGGGAGGAGTTTCATCTCTAGTGCATGGCTTGCCCGCTCCCTGGCGGCAGTCTCCTTTGACCTGGGCTTCCTGCCCTTGGCTCTAAGTCCTGGGAATGCCAGCGCTGTGGCTAGTTCCCCAGGTAGCACAAAGTTGGCTCTGGGCCGCAGACCAGCAGGTGGGTGGTTGGCATTCACTCTGTGACCCTGGGGAAAGAATGGCTTAAGGACCCACTCCCACCAGGCCCAGGCTTCTGAAAGCCCGGCAGGCATCGGGCATGGGGTTGCCAGGAGTCAGAATTGATGGCAACAGGATTGGTTTTCCAGATTTCTGGTGGTAAATATCTTTGAGACCAGTGAGTGTGCGTTTATGCTATGCTGGAGCTTGGTTGTGGCCTGTCATTTGTTCTCTCAGTTAGCTAACATTCTGGTTGAACCCTCTTTTTTTTAAAACTGGAAGTATATATTTTTTTCTCCTGTCTGGCTGCAGTCAGAGAAGCATTGATCTCCGAGGTCAGGCCATTGTGGGCCCGATGGAAGCAGTGAGGACTCGGAGACACATGCTGGACCCCTGCTCGCGGTCCAGCTGGGGCCGCTTTCACCAGCAGGACCTGACTGCCAAGCATGGCTCCGAAAACGACACAGACTTCCCGCCCTCATTCATCATTCTCATACAATTGGAGATGTTTAACATTTTGTTCCCCAAGTATAATTGACCTGTTTACTTTCAAAGCAAAGGGACGCTATAGGACAGGGTAGAACTGCCCCTATGGGTTTCCCAGACTGTAACTCTTTACGGAGTAACAAGCCCTTTATTTTTCTCCTGTGGCCCAACTGGAGTTTCCAAGTGCGGGCTTGTGGTTTGCAGCTCGAAATGTAACACATGATGCCACTGCCGCCTGCTCGGTGCCTGCCTGCAACGTCAGTTTCCATCATGAACTAGTGGAGACGTCTGCTTTTTTTTCTCTTTTCTTTTGGGTGTTGGGGTGGGGTGGGGAAGCTGAATTAGCAAAATCTGCGCGATTAGAGGCCTTGCTTCTTGTTAGATTCATGCGGTAGCTCAGGCTGGGTGTCGTCGGGTTCCTCACTGTTTGGGTTTGCAAGTGTACATGAAGCAGAAGTACAAGTGGAGGTGCTCATCATTCCAACGGAAACAAAGAATCAAGGAAAGTGGCTCTAAAATGAGGTTGTCACTCACACCCCCAAGTTGAGACTTTGTTTTTCTCAAGAACTTTTGAAGATTGATACCTCGTGATTGATACGGAGCTCATTTTAACCCTTTCCCCAGGCCTGCCCCCACTAGTGGGGGGACTGGGCAGCCTGAGGAGCAGAGTGGGAGGGAAAATGTGTCCTCTTGGCTGTGGTCAGGTCACAGGGACAGAGTGGAATGCTGCCCAAGGCCTGTGCCGTCCTCCCAGCTGCTGTGTTTGAGCCCCCTGCCAGTCCACCTCCTTCGAGGCCTTCCTCTTTTGTGCTGACCGACTCCTTTACCACGCATGTCATGGGTATTTGCAGCTGTTTCTTCCCATTTTGAGTCCGGCCTCATCAACAAATGAAGGGCCGGAGCTGAACCCCCATCTTGTCGTACAGGTTGACTGCTTCTAGGAGGCAGCTCTTCCCCAGTCGTGCTCTGAGTGCCTCTCCACCAGCGGGGCTCCTCTCGGGCCTTTTAGCAGCCCCAATTCTGCTGCTGTTTATATGGTTTTCAAGGGGTCAGCCCTCTGAAGTGGACAACCCACTGCTTCTTCATAGCCCCCTTTCAGCCTGGAAGCTCAGCTGAAACCCGCTTACCACGGGGTGCCCCTGCTGGTAGCTGACATGCCAGTGACATAGTTTGTAGCATCACAGCAACACACAAGCCCACAAGCCACCACAGCATGGCAAACTGACCAACAAATGGTGGTTCCTGTTTTTATAAAGTCTTAAAATTTGCTGGAGTATGTAGGTCTCAGGGCCCTGCCACGGAGCCCATTCTGACTCATGTCAGCCCTGTGTAAGGTTTTGGAGGCTGTAAACCTTTGCGGGACCAGGCAGCCTCATCTTTCTCTCCCTCTCAGTGACGGGTGAGTTTGAGTCACAGACATTGCAGGGCAAACATACAAAGTTGGTCACTGGCACGCAAACTTTTATCTCTTTATTTGTTTTTGTGGGTAACTCATTAGAGTGTAATAGTGCGAACCTATTCTTATGACTGAGTGGTTGGAAGGTTTCTGTCTCAGGAGGTGGGCATGACTTTTTAGTAGCATTTGTGTTTTCT